AAGGTGCACATTTTCAGCTGACCTCTTTGGCAAGTAAACACTATCATTTTGTTTTCTGGACAACGAATGTTTTCTCATCGGAGAAAACCAATTTCGGCAGTTCACCACTTTCGGCCAAGCGTTACTTCGCTTCAGCTCTTTTGAGTCTATTTTCTTTCTGTTGCGGAGTAAGTTCTTGCATTTTTTGGAATTTCAATGGCTTTACCCCGAGCTCATTTTTCAATATTTGCCGAATGGACTATTACGATATGTTCAGGTTACGAGCCATTTTTCGGCCATGACCACACGGGTTTCGATCAATTCGCTTCATTACATTTCGAACCATTTCTGCTGATGTTTTCTTCCGTCTAATTCCTTGACGAGCAGAGAGTGACCATCGACTGTTATGGCCGCCATGACACAATCACCCTGGCCGGCGCTTGAGTTCTGGTGTCTGGTGGCCAACCGTAGGTGCACATTTTCAGCTGACCTCTTTGGCAGGTAAACACGATTATTTTGTTTGCTGGACAACGAATGTTTTCTCATCGGAGAAAACCAAATTCGGCAGTTCACTACTTTCGGCCAAGCGTTGCTTCGCTTCAGTTCTTTTGAGTCTATTTTCTTTCTCTTGCGGTGTAAGTTCTTGCACTTTTTGGAATTTCAATTGTTTTACCCCGAGCTCATTTTGTCAATATTTGTCGAATAGGGAATATTGCGATATGTTTAACTCACGAGCCATTTTTCGGCCACTGCGATGCGGGTTTCGATCAAGTCGCTTCTTTACTTTTCGAACCATTTCGGCTGATGTTGCTGTTTTCTTCCGTTCACAACGTCCACGTCCTTGACGTCAAGCTACGCTACCAGTATCACGGTAACGAGCGAAGATTTATTCACATTTAAATGCTGGAGTGCTCTAACGATAGCCACTTGTGGTTTTCCAGCCGAATATACAGAAATCACACTATCACGATTCCTGAATTCCATCACGAATAACTTTTTTTCTGGAAAATTCTCGCCAAAATGCTTTTGTTCGCTTGTAAACAATATAATGAGCTGTAGCTGGAATAATTTTAAGAGCTGCCGGACGAGTGACTTAGAAATGACAGCAGTCTGAAGTTGGTTGCCGTTTTTTAATCTCACCCTGTATATCATTGTCCTTGTAGAATATATTAGATGGGGTCGAAGTAATCTGATGACAGATAGATTTGATTAGGGAATACTAAAAGGGCCCTATGTCTCTTAGGAATAATTTCCCAAAGATAACATCTAAGAAAAACAAAACAATTATGAGAAATCCGTAGTCGACCCCCTCTATTATCAAAGTATGCCAGTCTCATAAAATTCTGTTCACATTTTGTATTTATTGCATTTTGTGTGTTTGTTGTAACTGTAAGTGAAGTTTCGTTTCGTTTAGTTGATGGTGTTGCTGGGTCTCTGCTTTAGCTATTATGCTGTTGTTGTTGTTGTGGACTTGTATTATTGTAACATATGACCCATAAAAAGGTCAGCAGCTTTTTTATTTAAACAAAGTTTAAGTTAAGAGCAGCAGCAGCAATCAAAATCACACAAATAAAAATGAACAACAATGTACGACGTTCAGTTCAAGAAAAAAAAGTTCAGAAGAAGCAGAAACAGAACAAAAAGAAATGAAGAATGGGTGAAATAACCCGACAAGTAGTAGTTCCACACACACAAACACACTCACACATTCACCCTCAGCCATTGTCTCGAGCTGCTAATGATGGCTCAAAGAAAGGAAGTAAATCTGCAGAGAACTGCTCTAGCCCTGCAGTGATTTTTACTTTGATTTATGGTGTGCGAGTGTGCAACCGAGTGTGTGTTCGTTCGTGCCTGTGGTGTCGGATTTTTCGTTTTGAAAATTTTTGAAATTTCTATTAAAAGAGAACTAGAAAGCTGAGATTTAAGTGATTTAACGAAAAAAAAAGAAATTAAATGGTTTTGGCTTCGGGTTCAGAAGGGAATTTAATTCGCTTGGAAAATAATAAGGCAAAAGATTGAAGATCTACAAAAATATTTTCTGTAAAAAAGAATTAAGACCATGACATGGACTCTTATTCTATGAAAAACTGAAAAATATTTTCTTTATATTTTTTTTCATGAAGATATATTTAAATTTGCCTAGCCAAGACACAAACCAAGCGAATTTTTCCTCGAATACAGAAAGGGTTAATAACGAATAGAGAGAGAGAGAGAGAGAGAGTGAGAGGAAGGGAGTAAAAGGGAGAAGGAACTTAAGGCATTCCCAAAAAATATCACAAAAATTGTCGATAAATAAATATGACTCCCCAAGACTTTTAATTTGAGCTCAGCCTCGCAGTCGCATCAAAATCCTAGAAAATATTTAGAAAAAGTTGAAATCCCCTTAATTCCTCATTTCAAGAATTAAAAAAAATTAAAAATAACCACCTCGACCATTTGAAAGGAACTTGAAAACCCGGAAAAAGTTACAAACGGATCGACGAAGTTAATATACCCTTCATAGTATGGTTGAGAGTATAAAAAAAGGAAGTTAAAATGTATCAGTCGGGGTTGCCGGCAAATGTATACCTTTAGCCAATGTTCGATTATTTAAATATATTTTGACTTTTGTTATGAATATTTAAAATAGTTGACTCTCTATGGAGGAGGCTCCGAAGGAATGGGCAAATATTGTCCGTTTCGTATCGGACCTAAATAATCATAAATTCCATATTTACCTCAGGTTTCTGGTTGGGAGAAATATTTAGTTATAAAGAAACGCTGACTTGTTTCGCAAGTTATGACAGTTAAAAGTATTGAAAATTGTAACCCTTTGTGGGTGAGGTATCAGAAGGGGTTCACAGATATACATAATCTTCACAAAAGATCTTGCGTCAGCAAAAATGTTTGTGTGTGTGAAATTTGAAGAGAACCGGATGCGTATTTCGTTTTATTTTAACATTTTGTTTTTCAAAATCTTGAACCCGAAGTACCAGAAGAAATGGTCCGATCTCTATCATCTTTATAACAGATCTTGTGTTGATGGAAATGTTGAGATGAACCAAGTCTGAATGGAATCGGATGTTAATTTTGCGTTTTATGAGCTTTACGAATATTCAAAATTTTGACCCTTTGTGGGGGAGGTACCAGAAGGAGTGGACCAATATATCCCATTTTCGCAGCAGATCTTGGGTTTATAAAAATATTGGGTTGTGTGAAATTTGAAGACAATCGAACTCTTACATTTTATAAGAGTTGTAATTATTCAAAATGTTAACCCTTTGTAGAGGAGGTACTTGATGGAGTTAACCGATATTGTCCATTTTCGCACCTGACCTAGCAAATATTAGAATTTGCAAAGTTGGAGCAAAATTGGATTATCGTCAGTACAGAAAATATATATATTTAAAAAAAAAATTCGACCATTTGTGGGGGAGGTACCAGAAGGAGTAAACCGATATCTTCCATCTTCCCACAATACCATGTGTTAGTAGAAATAATGGGATGTGTGAAATATGAAGATAACCGGATGCTTATTTCGGATTTTATAATCGTTTTGGTTATTAAAAACCTTGACCCTTTGTGTGTGAGATACCAGAAGGAATGGTTCGATCCCTACCATTTTTATAACAGATCTTGTACTGATAGACATATTGATATGCGCCTGAAGTCTGAATGGAATCGGATGATAATTTCGCATTTCATGAGCTACGTGGATATTGAAAATAGTGGGAGTCACCAGAAGGGGGAGATGACAGTAGGAGTTGACCGACACATTCCATCTTCACACCAGACCTAGGGTTGATAAAAATATTGTAATGTGTGTAATTTGAAGACAATTGGACTATTGCATTACATTTTATAAGAGTTATAATTATTCCAAATTTTGACCCTTTTGGGGGAAGTACTTGATAGAGTGGGCCGATATTGTCCAGGTTCGAAGCTAACGTAGCACTGATGGAAATATTCGGATTTGCAAAGTTGGAGCAAAATCGGATTATTGCTTATTTTTCTGTGCAGATTTATTTATTTATTTTTTTTTTTTTTTTTTTTGAAATTTTGACCTTTTGTGGGGGAGGTACCAGAACGAGTGGACCAATATATCCCATTTTCGCAGCAGATCTTGGGTTTATAAAAATATTGGGATGTGTGAAATTTGAAGACAATCGGACTCTTACATAACATTTTCTAAGAGTTGTAATTATTCAAATTTTGAACCCTTTGTAGAGGAGGTACTTGATGGAGTTAACCGATATTGTCCATTTTCGCAGCTGACGTAGCGCTAATGAAAATATTAGGATTTGCAAAGTTTGAGCTAATTCGGGTTATCCTATCTCTTTCTGTGCAGCAAAACATTTTTTTTTTTTTTGTTTTTCGACTTTTTGTGGGGTACGTACCAGAAGAAGTGGGCCGATATTGCTCAACTCCGAACTCGATCTAAGTTTGATAATAATATTGCTATTTACTAAGTTTGGACCAAATCGGGTACTCCTTTAGAGAGTTATCGTGTGCACCAGCCAGCAAGACAGACGAGATGGACGAACATCGCTAGATCGACTCCAAATACCCTGAAACAGATTTGGTCCAAAGAGGCCTGTGGTCTGAAACCGTGTTTTTCAATGAGGCACGTTTTGGCCATATCAAATTATATGTACCCTCTCTAGCAACACGATTTTTTAAAGGGCTTTTGTCGATAGAAGCCCTGTAGTAAAAGCCGTTTGTCCAATTTTCCAAAGATTTTGTCTCTGGAAGAATTTGTAAAAATTATTCTCATTTTGAAGGGCCTGCTGGGCATAAAAGTTACGTTTTTGTGAGAATAAAAAAACGTTTAAGAGGTTCTCTATCTAAAAAAGATCTTTCGGAAGAATTCGAATTTCACGAATCTTTGTCAAGGCAATATAACTTTGCATTTTGAATAAAATATTAATTTTCTATAAAAATTTAATATTAACGAAAGAAGCTTTGCATGAGCTAAGCATAACTTCCGAACGAAATCATAGACAAGTTGTGAATAAATTTAGATAATTAAAAAAAAAACTTACCTCGATTTTGATTGAATTTATGACGTTATTCCATTATCTGTTTTCTGAAAATAATAAAAAAAATCGAAGGTTAATTAGATGATGAAAATATATAATTCTCAGATCAAATATTTTAAAAAATGTTGTTAATGATAAAAAAAATATTTTTTAAAAATTAGAAAAAAAAGTATTCCTTAAAATGGAGACAATTCGGGTTATAAGTTTTGAAAATTTAAGGCTGGAAGGTATAATTTTAGTCCAATACCTTGCAAATTTAAAACCAAGACAATCCCTATTTTTAGAGGCGATTCTATTTTGGAGAGACAAATCGTACCCCCCAACAATCTAAAAACATTTTTAATACCAGCTAATAATTTACCAAAAAAAAAATTTTTTTGCCATGGCCCCTACCCCTTTACTTCTCTCCCTCCCGGATAACTCCATTTCCTTTAGACGATCATTAGGCAAATCTCCGTTTAGCTGCCGCTGCAGCAGCTCTCTCCCAAACTCCCATCTAATTACATTGGCCCCTCGAGCATCTTCATCCTGCCGCCTAGTCCTGGTCCCTAAATAGTTCATAAAAATGCCATGCCCAACTGAAAAGGGAGTTTCATTTGGGGGAATTTTTAATGCCATGAAATTATTCAATGATTCATTTAGTTTTACTCCAGCCTCTCCCAACTCCCTACCCGACCTTCCTCCCATTTTGGAATAAGACAAATCATTGTTATGGCCTCCTCTTTGCCCTGGACTCCAGTGTGAGTTGTGCGGAAATAATTTCCTTTTTTGTAAGGAAACGTGTAGAAATGTCTAAATCTGAATGGTGGCAGATTTTTTGTTCATTGTTCACCCTTCTCCACAATGGAAGCGATTTTTACAAGGAGGGGATCCTCCTATGAGTAAATCGTAAAGTGTTTATACATTCTCCGCCGTCTTCTGCTTCTTTTCCTACTTCTGTGGCCATTGCAGCCAGCGAATAAAATTGAAGGAAGAATAATTTTTAATTTTTCACGCCATAACGTCTGGCGTTGCGCATAATTTAATAAAAACAAATTTCCATTTACAACAGCAGGCAGGAGGATGAAGAAGCATGGAAGGAGGGAGGGGGAAGGGGGAGGGAGTAATAATTCACAATAATCCCAACTGCATTCGGCAACAACATTAACATTAGCCCGAATGGAACAGCTTGAGGATGATGATGACGATGTTGTGCAGAAGCAAGAGCAGAAGGGGAGCTTAGCAAGTTATGGCCCAAGCCATTCCGCAATGTTAATTCCAAATATGCTGATGAATTGTGTGGATGAAAATGGAAAACTAGCTGCTACACATCACAGCGCCGCATGGAATTACAGAAACTATTCGTTGTCGTTTGACAATGGCATCGCCAGAAATTCATCAGCAACGTCATTACAGCTCAGCTAGAGAAGCTATCGTCCGCATAATTAAAATGCTATGCCTATGCCTCTGGAATTATTAATTTCTGGATGTTAATGTCTAGGGCAATGGGAGTACGTGTTGCTGTTGTTGTAGTCGTTGTTGTTTTGCGGTGATCCACCTAGCCCTTTTTAATAATCCACGCCAAAAGTGTCTTTTAAGTGTTGGAACGTGCCTCAATAATGCCTCCAAAAGAATATTTCATTCATTCATTCATTTATTCGTTCTTCCTCTTCCTTCACAATTCCCCTTCAAATCCCCCGCCAATGATTATAATTTCGAGCCATTTATGAGTTTTTCCAATTATCTCGCCACCGCCTCAAAACCCATAAAAGCATTGACAAGCTAAGCCATAAAATAAGTCCGGCTTGTAAAAATTATTAATAATCCCAATTCCGCTGAGAGGTGTTGAAGTTTTACTATCTTTGATTTGGTGTTGTTGTTTTTTGCTTTTATTTGTTAATAAAAAAATCTTTTAATAATAAATTAATTACCAGTTTAACCTTCAGCCAGTCGCTGTTTTTTTGGGCTTTTGTGTGGCTGTTCGCATTGTTGTCTTTTCATCACCGAACAAAAAAAACTGTATCTTTTATTAATTTCTTCTCTCCAAAAAGATTGCGGATTGCCATAAACAAAAAGTATTTAAAACTAGTTTCATTTTTTTTAATGGCGAGGTATAAACAGTGTCTCGCAAGGGTCAAAAGTTCATTGGGGTTGAGAAAATATACTTAGACTTGATAAAAAAAAATTCTCAAATATTTCAAAAAAATCATTTTCCAAAAAAAAGTTCTCCAAAAGGATATGACCTTGGGCATCCAATTTCAAATATGGGAAAACTAAGATCTCATTCCAAAAACACGAAGACTTATAGAGCATCAAGCAAGAAGGATCTTAGTTATTTGATCTCCCGATCGTTCAACTGTTTCAAAAAAAAACTCTCATCGAAAAAGCTGGAAGAACATGGAACTTTATACCCCCGGTTGCAGGGTATTTAGCTATTTGTCCGGTTATATCGAGAAGAAGAACAAGGTTCCTTCTTACGATCACGGTAGGCATACCACTGCAGTATCTAATGTTTGACCTCAACCACAACCAATCCTAACACCAAAGCGAACCATAGAGCATCAAGCATTAGGATTGTAAGGCGGATTGACAGCAGACATTGACATAAACAGGGGTTGACCCCTCTTTAAACCTCAATAATTAAGAGAGGATCGCTTTTTTCAAAATTGGACATCAAAACAATGTCGAACAGGATTTTTACAAAAAAAACCAAAAAAGGACTCTCTCAAATTTCAGAAACACAATTGAAAGAACCTCTACAAAGTCAATGTCTTTCGAATAGTTTCCTATGGACAAAATGACATTCAAGGAATTCCTAACAAGGATCTGCAATAGAAAAGCGATATTTTATAAAGTCTCCTAAAAGCCTTTAGTGTGATTTCTTTATATTTGGCTGGAAAAACAAAAGTTGCGATCGTTAAAGCACTCCAGCAATAAAATGTGAATAAATCTTTTGTGGCTCGTACCATGGCGTGTTACCGTGATACTGGTAGCATAGCCAGAGGTCAAGTAAGTGGACGTAAAGAAAACAGCAACATCATCAGAAATGGTTCGAAAAGTAAAGAAGCGATTTGATCGAAACCTGCGTCACAGTGACCGAAAAATGGCTCGTGTTGAGCTGAACATATCGCAATATTCCATTCGGCAAATATTGAAAAATGAGCTCGGGATAAAGCCATTGAAATTCCAAAAAGCGCAAGAACTTACACCGCAACAGAAAAAAATAGACTCAAAAGAGCTAAAGAGTTGCTTCGCTTGGCTTGGAAGTGGCGAACTGTCGAATTTGGTTTTCTCCGATGAGAAAATATTCGTTGTCCAGAAGTTTGTTCGTTGTCCAGCAAACAAAATGATCGTGTTTATTAGCCAAAGAGGTCAGCTGAAAATTTGCACTTTCGGTTGGCCACCAGAACTCATGCGCCGGCCATGGTGATGGTGTGGGCCGGCATAAAAGCCGATGGTCGCTCTCCGCTCGTATTAATCGACCGTGGGTGGCATCAGAATAAATGCCGAATATTATTGCGAAAATATTCTGGAGGGTGTTTTAAAGCCTTGGGCACACAAGCATTTTGGCCGCAGACCTGAAGATTCCAACAGGACTCAGCACCACCGCATTCAGCACGCGCAACCCAAGAATAATTACAAAATGAGATTCCTCGTTTCATTTCCAGCGCACAATGTCCACTAAAATCTCCGGATACCAATCCGTTGGACTATTGTGTTTGTGGAGTATTTTGAAAAGCAAGGTTGGCACTAAAAAATACCAAAGTGTCGATCACCTCAAACAAGCGCTTCGCAGGGAATGGACCAAAATTCTGCAAAACAACATTCGGGCAACGTGTGATGGTTTCATTGACCGGCCGTTTGAAGGCCATAATTCGTGCCAAAGGTGACCAATTCGACCAAATCTAAACTTATTCTAAAGTTGGATGCTATTTCCGATTTCTTTTTTTTGCATTCATTCAATAAAATTAAAAAAATGTAGAAATTATGGCGTTAGACGTTGTTACCACAATTATCCCCTTGTGAAAAATCGGTTTATGTCTTCGCTATAGTTTGCCTATTCTCCGAAGGAAGCATTTTATTTTAAAGAGTGACCTATCCAGACACCTATGACACATTGTATTCCATAGAAGAGTCCACGGGTTTTCAATTCCAATTTCAAGGGGATTTTTACTTTTCCTCTTCCTAATATAAAAATTCAAAGACCTATTATTTCAAGATCCAATGAGGAGCCTGAAAAATATCATAAGCCCCATGTCAGCCCCAAATATTTCATTTTCTAAATACTGTTCATTTCCTCTGCTAATCTTTGCTGAATATATAACCCTCCCAAACACTGTGTCAAGCAATGCAAAAAAAGTCACCTTTACGTCTCCAAAACAAAATATCCAAATCATATGTGAGTACACGAGCAACAACAACTACAACAACAACAACAACAATAAAAATGATTTTTAATTTTCATAGCCAATTCTTTTTCAGCTCCATCATCAACATTTTTTAGCCATTTTAGTTTTTGGTGTTTGTCTCTTTCAATTTGGCAAAACGTGATTAAGTGCTGATTTAAAATCACACCGAGCAGAAACGACCGAAAAAAAAAACAAGCAGAACCTGTCTTCCACAAGCAGTCGGAGTCGAGGAGAGGCATGTGCTACACAAACGAGGGAGCGAGCGAGCGAGCATAGCCCAACCAAAAACCAATCAACATTGTTTGCGACCCGCACAGCCGGCTGTCTGACTGTCTGTTGCTCTTTGGGTCTGGGAACAGCGAACATGTGTGACAAAATCGATGTTGCTGCCTGCCTTCTTCGGCAAACAAATCTGGCCGCATCGAGTCAAACAAAAAAAAATGTTAATTTCCGTCAAATATTAATCCTCCTCTCCATTGAGCGTTGATGACGCTGACGGGTACGGCGGCAGCTCAAAAACGAAATACAAATCAAAGCCGGTAATGTTAAGTGTTTGATGATTGAATTCGCCTCGATCATCATTTGAAGTTCCATAGATGTCAGATGTCTATGCGTTCGTTCATTGGTTTCGGTTTTTTCTGCAAAATATTTAATAATTC